CTTTCAAAGGTTAGATCATAGTTAAAATCTAGATTTAGAGAACATAGCTAACATTTGTTTATCTAGCTGATACAGCTGCAGGATGATCACATAGCATGTGTGCATAACCAATTGTGCACTCACACACGATATGAGGGTGGGTTGTCAGATGGCAACTCACAGAGCGTGCTCGTAATCATAGTTTAATATGGCTACTAGTTATTGTTAGCTCGTTAGTATTATTGCAAAATGGTTATTGTTATTAATTGCTATTACCAAGGTTATAAGTAAAACGAAAAAACACACTTTTAGCCAAGGTAGCATAATTCAATAAAGTACCTTAGATTTGCCCAAGGTGAAGGCAGGAGAGAGTTATGCCTTTTCAACAACGTTAGTCAGTCAGATTGACAAGTGTTAACATTTTCTTACACTGAAAATGTACTTCCCATAGGTACTTACCTCCACTTATACAAAGCTATTTCGATCTTCTTTCTGCCCTCTAAGCATTGCTAAAAAATTTTCATGCTCAGCACACCAATCTATATACCCCATCAATTTTGTGCCACTGTTGAACATGTAGATATCATGAGACTACTTTCCACCAATAGTATTGCACCACCTATATTGGCACAGCTAACTCCTTCTGCTATTTCCACTCAAACCTCACTATTGAGAATTTGGTAGGATATAAAATAATAACATTGGTAGTGGGAAGGAAGGGTGGGAAGTGTGTAAGAGGAGGTAAGTACTAATACATTTCAGTGTAAGAAAATGTTAACCTCTGATACAGACTTACATCTATTCACACAAAGCAAGAATCCCACACTTCAAAGGTGGAGGGGCTAGTGTACATATACAACATTGAAACCAAGCAGAAAGCAATTGCTCAGTATGAATGGATGTGCTCAGAGATGAATTAAAGTACAAATGTGGGGCAGTGCACTACTTCTGGAATGGGTATTCCCCTCACCTCAAATACAACAAACCGAATTCGACATTACAGAGTCATGGCACTGCCTGAACTCAATTGTAAGAGCAGAGCAATATCTGTAACTGGAATTAAGAGCAGAAATCTTAAATCACCCACCCATCTTGGATCTGGAATTAGGAGGAGGATATGGAACATTTGCTTAACTGTGGGAACAGTGTATATACATCCTGTTATGAGGCAGACAAAGTTCCACAAACTCAACCATAGGAGCAGGGAAGGAGCCACCGGTAATATGGAATTAATAAGAAGGTGGGCCTCTACTGCACAGAGCCATAGGAACAGGGTGGCATCATCCCGAACACAGTATTAACAGGATTATCCCATGTAGGCTGGTCCTACCAACCAACCAACCAGGGGAAATGGAAGGAGGGAAATCAGCTTTGCCCTCTTCTCACTGAGTGGATATATGGAAAGTTAAAAGTCTACAACACACTCAGGAGGAAGCCTCTAAGGTCCACCACCCCAGCAACTGGGAAGTGGTAATGACTCTCTTGCTCCACTTCGACAAAAAAGGGGGGGGGGTGCAGTGGGGAGTACGGAGGAACGTCACACTGAAGAAAGAGAAATGAGTGTCTATGATTCTCTGTTTTGAAAAGTAGACCTTCCCCAATTTATTCACTCAAGGGGTAGGCAGGAATGGGCAGAAATACCCTTCTGCTTTACTCATGAAAGTCCATGAGTGCCAGTCCACAATGGATTGAAACTATGTATATACTACTGGGCATGCCACCAATGATCAACAGTGAGTGTTATAGTGCAACAAGTAAATAGTGCGAGTTTGAGGCAAAGCATACCTAATCAAGCAACACCTGCCACGGAGTGGGATGCCATTAGCAGTGGTAAAAAAAAAGAGGGTCTCTAAAAAGAAAACATACACAAAATGATGTATTAAGACTTACCCAAGCCAAAGGTGAATGGACGTGTGTAGAATCGCCATGGGATGGAAACAATATCCACCTGAGGAAGATACAGCCAAATTGTACAGATAATGAGTGATAAATGTAATGGAAATAGTCCACATTCTGGCATGGGCAATTTTCTCCAATGGACGGCAAAGGCGAGCAAGCCAAGTACATGGTGATATGACAAATTTGATGAGAAGAAATTTTATGGAGACAGTGACCTTCAATGGATGAGTCAGAATATGCAAGTCTAATGAGTTGACAAACCCAACCAGTTAGTGTGACAGGGGATAAATCAGGTATTGATGTAGTAATTTATGAATTTTTAGTTATTCAAATGTATATATATAAAACCTAAAAAAAATATTTTGTTTCATATCCTCCACATGCAAAATTTTTAAAGGCTTAGCAAACTACGTCAAGGAGATACCAAATACAAAGGTCCTAACTAGAAAAAATAATTGTTTGCTTTATTTCTTTATTTACTGTTCTATGTTTTAGGAAAAATAACTTTAAGAACTTATTTCAAAATAGTAATAATCTATACACATATATAACGTATAATAATTGAAATGTGACTGTACTTTACGAAATTCTACTCAACTAAAACACAGCCAAGACAAGTTACTTTGTACAGACCAAAGGTCACCTTTATGTTATTTGATATGGTAACATGAGTACACGAGCCGCGTCATTATAACTTTTGTATTGTTAGCCAGGCACGGATGAAAGGTTAATATAATAAAAGAGTATAATGTTACGAGTTTTATGCTATTTTGTCTAAACATTTATGTTTTTGTGTTATAATTTGCGTTGTTTCAGATTGAAAGAGG